TTGTTTCTACCACTTTATCTTGCTTCTTTGTGTGGACTATCATGGTTTGTTGTCTGAGATATCGTGGCGTTATTGTATTTAGATCTCTGTTAACTGTTTGTGAAGAGCAGCCAAGGGTGAATCAGGCTTTTGGTGGTGGTTCTTTACTGTTGGCCCGTTGGTGGAGGAGGAAGTGTTGGCTCTCACTCAGTAAGTGAAGCTGCAGGAGTTGTGGGTGTAGTTAGACAAAAATAACCATTGAATAATCGTCAAAAAAGTAAAAACAAATGAACAAAACATACAGCTTGTAATCACACTGGAACAGTAACTTTCTAGCCGTCTGGGTGCAAAAATGTCCTTGGGGTTACTGGCAAGTGGAGCCTGTTCTTTAGTCCCTGGAATCTGGGAGAACGCTGTCACTTTAAATATCCAACATGGTCAAGCTGCTTGTAAACATTCAAAATTGCTGCACCCTCCAGATAGACAAAAGATCACAGGTCTCCCTGCTGTCATCTTCGCTGCTTCCCCTTTTCTTGCCCAGCCTCCAGAGCAGTCCTCTGTGCAGTCCCTGGGTAGCAGGGCTGATTTTTAGTTTAATTCTTAGGTCCTACCACCACTCGGCAATATCCAAGCTATCTGTGCCGTCAGGATCGCTGTCAGACCACAGCTCCATATATCTCCTTTTTTGGTGTTTCCATACAAGTTGTTCTGCTAGTTGGCATTTAATCCACTTCTATATCCTTCCCTTCAGGGCCCAGGGCTCCAGGATTATCTTCTGTATCTGTATTAGTTAGTTCCCCTTTTCTTTGTTGAAGAGGGTCTCTGCAGTCTTTCTGCCTGTTCTGCCATCTTCCGGAATTCTTCTTCTGTCTTCTTTTGATACTTCCTGCATCATTCAATATTTTGTCTATTCAAGCCTTCCGTATTGGGACTTGAGGCTTAATTTTTTTTTTCAGTTCTTGTACTTGAGAAATGCCAACAATGTTCTTCCCTTTTGGTTTTCTAACTCCAGGTCGTTGCACATTTCCTTAAAATATCTTACTTTGTTTTCTCAGGCTGCCCTTTGAAATCTTCTCTTTCAGCTCTTTTACTTCACTGTTTCTTTCAGTCACACATACTAGGTGCTAATGTAGTTTCCCATTTTGTACCTTTTCAAAAGTTAAATTAGTTGGTCAGATTATAAAGGTAGTAAGTGACTGACCCATGTTCGTTCTTCTTTCACTTTTCAGTTGTAAAGCTTTTTTCCCTCTTCCCTGTCATTTTCCAGAATAACTTTTAAGTATTTTTTGGAACACAGAATAGATGGTTGGAGGTTTCTTTTTTCTTTTTTTAATTAAACAACTCAGCAGTGAAAAGCATTTTTATAATGTAACATTTTTGAAATTATGATGAGAAAGATTTGTGTACACTGTTGTTGGAATGGAAGAGTGCAAAAGTAGTAGGACTTCATGTAAACTGCCATCAACTTTATTCTGACTCGTACCAACCCCTATCAAGTTTCCAAGGCTATAAATCTTTATGGAAGCAAACCGCCACATCTTTATTCCATGTAGTGGATGGTGGGTTCAAGCCACCAGCCACTTGGTTAGCCAGTAACTGCTTTAAACATTGCCCCAAGAGAGTTCCATAGGCCTTGGATTTTACACACAATTTTAACTGATAGGAACAATGGTGTAGTCAACCTAATAACTTTGTGTGTGAGCTGCAGTAGAGACCAGGGAACAAGAGAGGTAATGGAAGGTATTAGATTGGAAGAAGATAGGCCTGAGTATAACGGGGTTATTGCCTTGGTAAGTAGTGGAATTAGTCCATTCGGGTAAAGAGTAGTGAAGCCATTTGACATAGGGCCTTGAACAATAAGTCAGAGTTGGTGTTTTAACTGGAGTATAGGATGACCATATCATTAGGGTAGACCAATCACTAGAAAAAGATATCCTTTTTGGATAAAATAGAAGGCCAATATAAACTGGGAAACCCTCAATGAGATGAATTGACATACTGGCCACAACAGTTGACTCAAACATACCAATATGATGATAGGATGATGATACACGATGAGGCAATATTTTGTTCTTTTATTAAAGTTTTGCCATGAAGCAGAGCCTACTCAGTGTCAACTAACAACCACAATAGCATGGCCACAATGGAAAATTAGTACAGTGCATAGAATACAATGGAAACCTGTCCCCCTGAGATACTCTTGAACCAAAACTGTTCCATGAGTTCATGCTTTAGCTAATTAACATATTGGCTCATAAAATAAATATCATCACTGTGAGTGCTGTAGTTCTTTGAAAAATCATCTCTATGGGACCAAATTGTCATCATTTACTCTAAAGTAAAGATGAGAAGGCAAAAGTACAGGGAGACTAGATTACTGGAAATGGAACAAATAGGACAGAAATGATGAGAAAATTGACACCTTTTATAAAATGTAACAAATGTCACTGAACAAATTATAGAGAAATTGTTAAATGGGAACCTAATTTGCTGTGTAAACTTCCATGGGAAACATAATACAATATTTAAAAAAAAAAAAAAACCCACTGGCAAGAAAAATACGAAAACTGAGAGGTCAGGTTCGAAACTCTTCCCTAAATCAGATTTTGAGATAATTGCATAGATTTTGGGAAGTGGCTTTGGAAATGGAGAGGAACCTTCTTACCTTATTTTTTTAAGAAGGAATTGGTAAATATGGTTACAAAATAGTATTTAACATAATGTTTATTTTTTCCTGATGAGTAAAGTTTACAATATATTTATTGTAAGATATAAAAAAAATCCAATTTTATTTGTCAACTTGTATTAAAGAAGAAATATTTTCCCTGAATATTATATACTTTCATAATGTACCTTTTTAAAAAAAATAAAATAAAGCCAGGTCATGAATTTTTTGTTTCATTTTATTTATTTTGTTTTTGTTGAATATACACTGTAAAACATATACCAATTCAACATTTTCTACAGTTCAGTGACATAGATTATTTTCTTCAAGTTATGTAACCATTCCTACCTACCTTTTCTGAATTGTTCCTTCCCCATTGACATAAATTCACTGCCCTCACATAAATTCATTGTTCCTGTGTAATCTTTTGGGAGCTCTGATAGCATAGTGCATAGGCACTTGACTGCTAACCAGATGGCTGGCAGTTCAAACCCACCAGCCACTCCTTGGAAGGAAGTTTGGGCAATCTATTTCTGTAATGATACTGCCTCGGAAACCCTAGGAGGGGTCGTTATGAGTTGGGTCTGACTCGATGGCACATAACAACAACAGCAACACAAACTTTTGAGTTGCTGTTGTCAGTTTGATCCCATATAGATCTTAAAAGAGCTTCATGCCCAAGATAGACATTAACTTAACTTAGCTTATACTAGTTAAGCTAAAACATTATTTGTTGTTCAAGATATTTCAGGGATATTTGTGGTTTAAAGTTTAAAGATTATCTCAGCAATAGGTTCAGTGATTTATCCAGCTCTGTGTCTCAAGAAAAATCTGAATTGTGTAAGATTTTGAAATTCTGTTCTGCGTTTTTCCTCTTTTTGTGAGGATTCTTTTATAGAATCTTTGATCAGATCATTCAGTAATGGTAGCTGGGCACCATCCAGTTCTGGCCTCATGACAAAGGAAGCAGTTTTTCATGGAGGCAGTTCTGCACATCATTTCCTTCTCCTATTCTTGGCTTTCCCTACTTGTTGCTTCAGGCTACTAGATACCAATTGTTGTGCTTGTATGGTTGCTTGCATGTTTTTAAGACCCCAAGCACTACACAATTAAGTAAGAGGTAGAACTGAGGCACTTAACACATTATTAGGCCAGTTAACTGGGATGTCACATGAAACCATAACCATAAACCTCCAAACCAAAGAACCAAATTCCATGAGGTGTTTGATTATGTATAATCAGCTTTAGCAGCTACTCTTTGTTGTTGTTGTAAATATATCTATCATACAGCTTTTGCAGATTCATCTTTTTTACAGACATTCAACTTATTGATTGGCCATGCAACCCTACCCTTAAGCAATGCAATTTTTCCGTCACCACGAACCAACTTTGTACTCCATAAACAATAACCCCCTTTTCCCCCTCCTTTCCACTCTTGGTAACCACTGATAAACTTTGGTCTAAAAGAAAATTTGCCTTTACTTTTATGTAAGTGATTGACTTATTTATGATTGACTTATTTCACTCAGCATGATGCCTTCTAGCTCCCTTGATATTGTAACATGTATCCAGACTTCATATCTCCTACAGGCTGAGTATTGTTTCGTTGTATATATGTACCATATTTTGTTTATCCCTTCACATGTTGATGGGCATTAAGTTGTTTCCACTTTTTGGCCATTGTGAATATTGCTGTGAAGAACTTTAGTGTTCAAGTATCTATTTGCATCTCTGCTTTCAAGTCTTTTGGGGTATATACCTATTAGTGGAATTGGTAGTTCTATTTTTAGTTATTTTGAAGAACAGCAACACTGTTTTGTACAACACCCTTACCATTTTGCGTTCCCATTAGCAATGGGTAAGGGTTCCAATTTCTCCATACCCTTGGCAACATTTATTATTTGTTTTTGTTGTTTGTTCATTTTCCTAATGGGAATGTAAAATGACATCTGATTTTGGTTTTGATTTTCATCTTCTGATGGTTAATAATTTTGGGTATTTCTTATGTGTTTGGGGGCCATTTGAATGTCCTCTTTGGTGAAATGTCTATTCAAATCCTTTGCCATTTTATGATTGGGTTGTTTGTGTTTTTCTTGTTAAGTTGTTGAAATTTTATATATACTTTGGTTATTATATTCTTACTGGATATATGTTTCTGAAGCTATTCTCCCAGTTGGTAACTTAGTTTTCACTTTTTTGGTAAGATCTTTCAATGAACAAAAGTTTTAAATTTTAATGAGTTCCAAAGGCCATGATTTTTTAAAAACACTCTAATTTATTAAAGTATTTTTTAAAAATTGGTGCCAGAGTACTTTATAATTAGTAGTTAATCTTAATCATTTTTCCTTCCTTTCAGGTGGATACACGGAGCATACCAGTGTTAGCAAAATGGCAAAATTCGTATAGCATTAAAGTTGTACTTCAAGAGCTAAGACGTCTAATGATGTCCAAAGAAAATATGAAGCTTCCGCAGCCACCAGAAGGGCAAACATACAACAATTGATTTTAGAGGCTTTCAAACTTGTCTTAAATCAACAACCCACTACTCATGTTAATGTCTTGATTAAGTATCACAATGCAAAATACCCACACATTAAGTCAAAGAATTCCAGCTGGTAAACATGACTGGGACATTTGTAAGAATACACTTAATATATGTACACCCATTATGTTTTCAGGTCACAGGAGGAAAAATGCAGCACTTCTCTCTTATCAAAGCACTGTCATTTAAGAATAAACCTGAAGTACTCAAAATAGAATTCAGGTTTAAAAGATGCAAGCTCACTGGAGAAGTGTCAGGTTGCTGTGGAAGGATGTATGTTTCTGAAAACCAGTCTCCAGGAGGAAACCATCAAAGGCATGCTTTAATCCATCTTGCTTAGTGAAAGAGCTGCAGTTTAAATCGTTTAAAGTAGCAGGTACAATGATTATTGTTGCAGCTGTGTTAATTTCTGAAGTGGTGTGGGTGCTGACTACTAGTAGTATCAAACATGTTCAGGATTGTTTTGATACCTGTATTTATAATAAAAAAAGTGGGGGGAGTCTGAATTTCTGTTAAAAGCCGTTTCTGTGTCTTCCATGTAACAGACATGGTAAATATTTGTTTACAGTCTTTGTTTAACAAACCATGCATTTAAGTGTAAGTGAAACCAACCAAAAAGAAATAGGTGTATGATTATGTGATTTTGAGATGAATGTTAGTCTTAAAATGTAAATAAAATGTGGAAAGTGTCTCAGAGACTGTGCCATTTCTATTATATTGGTGTAATATATATATGTGTGTGTGTGTGTGTGTGTGTATATATATATATATATATATCTACAGTACCTTTCAGAGGTAGCAAAGATCAGAATTATGTTCACTTTTCATTTATATTCACCTTTTATTATTTATCTTGATTGTATACGTCTTGTAAATGGGGATTTTTCATAGTATTTCAAAGAATAAATTATCTAATTTAATTTCTTTTTTAGCTAAGGTAGAATCCAACAAATTATATTTTGAATTTAATACCAGAAATACTAGTAAAAAGATCTTTCAATCCTAGCAGTTCTATAAGATTATAGATTGCAAATTATCCAAATAATGTATTCCATTTTTCCTTTGAACCTTTTTTTTTTTCATTTTTTTGTGAAGCTTGAGGTTAATAGATTGGATTAATATATTTCTCCCTCAATTAATGCTTTTTAACACTAAGTAAGATTAATTTTATCCATCCTACCTAGCATCCATTCTAGCAAAGACATAATTCTGAAGTTGAATGTTCATTTATGTTCTGGTTTTACCAATGTAACTTGAGGCTTTACATCATTGTTTTTCACTTCAGTGGACTAACTGGGTATACTACTTTGTTAAAACTATTGTTTTCTTATGGTGCACTGAAAAAAAATTAGAAAGTTATTCAGGTAAAGTCTCCTTCAGTTTGGGCAAGCTCAACCATTTGTCTCATGCGTCACCCCATAAAGGAAACCATGATGAATAGCAAATTAGATGTTCATACTGTTTGCTTAGAAAGTAAAGGGAAAAAAGTCAATCTTAGGTATGAAAATATTTTAGCGACTTCTATAGCACAAGGACAAATTTCTCAAACATAGATCCTTGACATATTTTTGTCAAACCCATTTAAAGTTAAAGCTTTAGGCTACAGTTTCTTAGTCAATAAGATATTGAAGTCTGTGACCATTTGTCTAAACTTAATAAAATTGACACTTAGAGAACGCACATGTACAAATTAGGAGTGTGTGTATATTGAAATACATTCTTAAAATTTTTTAAATAATTGAAGATTAGTTTGAATTTCCTTGTAAAAGCTGAGGGTTGGAATCAGTCTCTCAACTAACTTTTTCCACTTTGAAACATGTCTTGTCATACATGGACACTTGTAACCATTTGGGTGCTGTTAAATTATTTTCTTGGTGGCTGAGAATCTGTATACCTTAATCTCTGTCCTCTTGCTTTTCCCCATATCCACCATTGTGAAAATATTTTTTTTTCCCCCAGTGTATGTTGTCTGAGTTGGTTTGTGATATTTATTTCCCCTCTTGTTTGGGGAATTATGGATCTCTGTAGGAATTTGCATGCCAGTTAACCAGTTTTCAAAGTAGGATCCATTTTGCATGTCACAATCAAATGTATATGGCATTGGTTGATTGTAGGAGGCACTTACTATAGAACCACTCTTAACTGTAGTAACATCTAAGCAGCTTTGAAGCAATTTTTCCGTTGTTTTGTAAAGTGGCTAAGGTTGTAAGAGTGTGATACTAACTTTTAAATGAATTGTAAGATGGACTTAGATATTTGTTTCAAAGGCTAGCAGGTGAGACCCAGAGGATGATCATATATTAATAAATGACTACAAAAATAAAACTTGTGTTGTTTTAGGTCAGTGTTATGCATTGATGATTTTAATTACTTAGTAATTCATTTTCAGAATGGATAATTAAAAAAAAATGTTTTTTCTAGTATTTCAATTAATGATGTGTTGTTATGGGTTTACTATATGTGATATTACACTATTTTAGGACATGAACATTAGAAAGAATAGTGAGTGGTATTTAAGTCATTTGAATGTAAAAGTAGAGGAAATGTATAAAGTAATATTGTCCTTGTAAAAGTATTTACGACACTTGAAACTTGAGTAACTGTAGAAAATAAATTAGTTTGATTCACAGATGTTTCACTAGATAATTCATAAGGAAAATTAATCTGAATTACTTAACACCAAAACATTTATTTCAGTGTTATTTCCCACTAAATATTTTTATAAAAGCAAACAGTAGGGAACAAAATATTGATAAATATATATGAAATTAGTGTTATTTTGAAATTTAGAGACACAATGTGGTATTAATTCTTTTTTCCTTAATAAGCAGTGCTATCTTGGTTAGGAGCTCTGGTAGCATAGTGCCTAAGGCACTTGACTGCTAACCAGAAGGCTGGCGGTTCAAGCCTACCAGCCACTCCTTGGAAGGAAGATGGGGCAATCTACTTCGTAGTGATACTGCCTTGGAAACCCAAGGAGGGGTCTCTATGAGTTGGATCCGACTTGACGGCACATAAGAACGACAACAACAACAATCTTAGTTGTCTAGTGCTACTATAATAGAAAAACCACAAATGAATGGCTTTAACAAATAAATTTTTTTCCTCACAATTTAGAAGACTGGAAGTCTGAATTCAGGGTGCTGGGTCTAGGGCAAGCCTTTCTCTCTTTGTAGTCTCTGGAGGAAGGTCCTTGCCTCTTTTAGCATTTGCTTCTGGGCAGTCTTCTTGTGGTTTGGCATCTCTCCTCCTCTGTCTCTGTTCCTCACTGTTGTTGTTGTTGTTGTTGTTGTTGTTGTTATGTGCCGTCGAGTCCTCCTTGGGTTTCCAAGGCAGTATCACTACGGAAGTAGGATTGCCCAACCTTCCTTCCGAGGAGTGGCTGGTGGGTTTGAACCGCCAGCCGTCTGGTTAGCAGGCAAGTCTTAGCCACTATGCTACCAGAGCTCCCCTGTTCCTCACTAGTTTGCATAATCTCTTTTATATCTTACATGTCTCTAGACACCATAAGAAACCAAACCAAACCCCTTGCTGTTGAGTTGATTCTGACTCAACGACTTTATAAGGCAGAGTAGAACTGCCCTGTATGGTTTCCAGGGTTGTAAATATTCACAGAAGCAGACTATCACTTCTTTTCTTTAACGGAGGAGCTGGTGGGTTAGAACTTCTGACCTTTGTGTTAACAGGCAAGCACTTAAGCACTTCACTGCCAGGGTTCTTTACTTAAGATACATGCTACACTAATCCTGCCTCATTAACATAACAAAGACAACCCATTCCCAAATGTGAGTATAACCAAAGGCATAGAGATTAGAATTTACAACATATTTTGGGGGAACACAATTCAATATGTAACATTGTCTATTGAAAAGTATTTTTATTCATTTTTCTCCAGTTCTAAACTTCATCATGTTTGTTCTTGGCTTAAATAGACCGACCTCTTAATACATTCCTGAGGTTATGCTTTTATTTTATTTAAAGTTTGCATCCCTGTTAACACTTTTGCTTGAATATGACTATTCTGTAATTTTTAGACCATTCTTTTGAGAAAAATTTATCATTAATAGTGAAAGGTCTAAATATTTGGTCACCCCTGAGTTTCAGTATTCCTGGGCAAGGGAGAAGTCAGCAAATTATCAAGAGTCAGTTATGTTAAGGGTAGAATTAAAAAAGAGAGTGGTGACATCAAGAGCTACCTTAGTGTTATGGGACCTTTATGTTAGAAACATTTTCATAAGTACTAATTTCCTAAATTGTTTCTAAGCAGAATAAAGGTGCAAATAAAAACCCCATGGTAACTTCCAGATCCTTATTGTCAACTTACATTCTAAATATATTGTAGATTGGTTTGGAATTTTAATGAGTAATGTACAATTTGAAACAAATTTTGAAAAGCAGTGTGGTAAACAACAATTTTCTGCCCCTTTGGGAAATAGAATGTGGTCAGTGTCCCTTTGGGGCAGATATGCATAATATGAGGAGTAGGAGAGTAATGTGAATTGCAGTCTCAGAGTGAGTGACACCATTCTCAGGACAAGCTGACCCACAGAGATAGACGTCAGAGATGGACAGGAAGAGTCAGGGTTCTGTTGCCTCTGAAGCCTAGGCTCACCCCAGCACTTCCATGGTTATGTGAGCTATTAATATAGTTACAATTGTTTGTGTTGTGTTTCTGTCACTTGTGAGCAGAAAAGTTATGTATCATACCTGAAAGTGTTGTTGGTGTCACTCATTCATCCATTCATTCAGTCTTTACTGAGTGCCTCCTGCGGCACTGGTATTGACACCTGTGTCACTGGCTGCAACCCATTGAGAAAGTGACCTTTTGACTTGAATCTTAAAGTAACCACAAAGAAGTTGGATGTAGAGGAAGACGACTTACATCGGAGCTACCTTGTATGAAACACTACCCAGTAATAGGGATTTTTATTAGAGGGTGGTGACCAGTGACTAATCAGGTCCTCATACCTAAGCATGAGTGCTTCATATGCCCAGGAGGGGTCCCTGGGGTTGAAACCAGGTCAGACAGTGCTGGATTGTTGCTCTGCGACTTCAGTAGGCCCACCCCCCAGTTGTAGCCTTGGGGTGTTGGACCCTGAATCAGGTGGGCTAGAAGATCAAGTTCTGTCATGTCTGCTTTTATTTATTTATTTCATTTAAAAATATTTATTTGGCTTTTTTTTTTAGTTTTTACTGTGATTTGGGTGAAAGTTTACAGAGAAAATTCATTTTCCATCCAGCCGTTCATATACATTTTGTCTCATGACATTGACTGCAATTCCCCACAGTGTAACAGCTCTCTTCTCACTTCCTCCCTGTAGTTACCTCTTCCCTATGTCCTTCCCTCCCATGCACTCCTGCC